CCCCCCCCCGCCAACCCAACGAATCACAACAACGGAACGCAGCAACAGAACGCAACAACGCAGCAACAGATCACAGCAACGGGTCACAGCAAGCAGCAACGGGATGCAACAACGTGACGCAGCAAGCAACGTGACGCAGCAAGCAATGAGACGCAGCAAGCAACGTGACGCAACAACGCAGCAATGGAACATAAAGCAACAACAGAACGCAGGACGCCAGTGCCCCCCTGGCCGCCTACTTCCAGCAACCACAGCATGCCGCCTTAAGCCGAGGCACCTGGCACCGGGATGCCATTGCCCACCAACTCCTACTTCCAGCAACCACAGCAAGTCGCCGTAACCGGGACACCCGACACCGGGATGCCGGTGCCCCCACCCCGTCCACTTCCAGCGATGGACCCACACAATTGGTCAACACAACGATGCCGCTCCCTCTGCCGTCTTTGGGGGGTTTCCACGACGGAAGACGTTTGCCGTAGACCAGCCTCGGATCTCGCAAGCAGATGCCAAGTCGTTCCCCCTCATGCTATGAAATCTGACCAATAGTACCCACAGCCATTACGTGGGGCCACGGATGGCCCAGCAAGTCCAACTCCTGTCAACCTAGCAGTCGTTTACCCAATCATCAAATTACGCTGCGACACCCGTCCGCCAAGGGCGCGTCCTCGATGTAGCTCACGTCTGGGCCACCGCAGCGCCATGGCTTTCTCGTTTCTCATTCCAGAAATTTAGCCCTCCTGCAGACACCCGTCCAACATCGGTTCGGCCATATCCAACGCCGTCTTTAAACCCACAAATCCTCACTCGATTTTGCCGACCATCGACCAGCAGAACTCCGCCGTCGATAACCCATCTTCCCACGCCTACCAACTTTACACTCGCCAGCTCCAATGACCAGCGCACGGGCAGGCAACCTGCTCCCCAGGGGGAATTATTTTGGGGATCTGCAAGGCCCGGGAGCCACGGTGGATCCTCAGCTAAGCCTCCCCCAAACCGCATCAGGCTAAATCTCCATCAACCATTCCTCAACACTCCAAACAACCGACGAAGGCTCGCTCCGGCCAAGGTGGGGTCCTAAGCTAGTGAAATAAGATATAGAATGAAGTTCTTCACCTGAATTCAGTGCATTTTACTTTTGCCCATCTCCTTTACAGAGAGGCGGCTGTAGCTCAGAGGGTAGAGCGGGTCGCCCTTTAGACTCTGAGCACGAAGTTGCTCCTCGGGGGCTCACTGCTCATAGACTGTATATGAGAAGTAGACGTAGTCATCATTTTATAGCCTCGAGTTTGGCGACATTTTGAATTTCGCCATGTTGTTTTTTCCATATTTGGAATGCGGATTAGTGACGTAGAGATGCCGTATACGGCTCTGGTTGAGGCAGCGACCTGTCAATCACAAGGTAGCCCCGCCCTAAAGCATACCCTGCTTCATGGTCTATTTGACTCTAAATGGACCATAATTTACTAAATGAACATCATGCTGTATTGAAGAAGATTTGAAACTAGAGATTGAGACCATAAACTCATGTTTACAATGTTTACTGAGGTAATAAATCAAGAGAGAAGTAGTCATTTTCTCATAGACTTCTATACAATCTGACTTCTTTTTGCAACCAGAGGAGTTGCCCCCTGCTGGTCAGTAGAGAGAATGCGAGTTTTAAGACACTTCCGCATCAGTTAAAAGCTTCAAGGGGTATTTACTGACGTATTTTATGTGCTAGAACCATAGACTATATATAAGAACAAAACCTATACAGCTTGTGTTAACCACAGACCTTATTTCCGGCATTGAACCAAAAACACATTAAAAAAAGACATACTGACTTTGAGACGAGGGAAGTGTGAAAATGCTGACTCATTTCTGAATTTTAGAGCTCATTCCTGCAGCACTCCATTACTCTTACTCTGGGCTGCAGCCGCAACATTCAGGAAAGTTCGTCACAGGCTGTTGCTGTAGGGTGCACACGCAACGGCGTGACAGCTTCCCCAAAAGTGAAACCTAAATATCTCCATCTGGGGGCTGGCTGTTAGTTTGACTTGCACATGAGTTCCCTGTGAGCAGAGTGCACATTTTCAACCAGTAGTGCAGTCGATTAAATAGTGGAAATTCAAAATCGTGATTATTATTCAATAATAACCGTGCATCCCTAATTGATTGAAATGAATAGCTTCTTTGTTTGAGACAGATTATGCCTATGTACGCTGGAAGCACACAATGATGATCCTTCCATGTCCAGATAAACATTTGGAATGTGGTTGCCACTTTTCAGTGGAATGTGGATGTGGTTAAAAATAGCCAACAACTGTCTCTCAGTGAGATTCCCACACAAGGACTTCACTCTGACACACTTTTTAATATCCGACCTCCCTGTTGCGTTTGTGCAGCACTTGTAAACGGCGTCTCTGTCTTGGTAGCGACTGTTAGGATTACGTGTAAAGCAAACTGTTTGTGTTGGATGGGGCCCATCTGCTCTTCTCAGTCCCACTTATTCTACATTTCCACAGAATCACAACATGTGTGTGAGTAGTTAGTGTGCATACACTCATGATCTGTGCCCCGGTAATCACACTCCCTCGGGGCACCTCACCCGTGTGCCTGTAATCACACTGAGATCGTTTGCTTTGTTGATCTCACACTTGCGTACTGTTTTGTCCTTATATAACCGTTGTCAGACCTCATTATATAACTGGCAGTCCTGGTAAAAGTGTCACACAAGTGGGAGCGATGAGGGGAGGACCCAAATGCAGACAGCCCAGGCAGACGGGAGCGGTTAATGACGAGAAGATTCATAAGCTTACAGGCAGGCAGGCCTTAAACTTAGGTTATATCCCCCCATAGTGAAGCCGGCGTGAAGCATTCGCAAGAGGTCGCGTGACAAATAGTTCACTGATAAAAGCACTGTTTACATGTCTAGGGATTATACAAACAAGGCCAATTCATTATTAGATGCTTTAGAAACAAGAGGTCTTAAAAATCTTTGCAGCCAAATCAAATAGTTTACTGGATATTCAACCTTAGTTTCTTTATAATGCATGTAATACTGTGTAATACATATTTTTTTACAGGGCTTGTATGAAAGCAATAAAGTACAGGCTAAGGTTCAGATGGCTGGGAAGTAAGGGCATATGCAACAATCACAATCTGTGTGTGTGGAAAAGGGCTGGTAAATAAACTCAGAGGAGGATTAGGGAAAATGGGAGGTCGGTGAGTATGTGGGCGGGGAAGGTGATGGAAAAGGCGGGAAAAGGGTTACTGCTAGGCATGAGGGAGTGGCTTGGTCTGAAATGAAGCATAGCACTGGAGCATTAATGTTAAGAATCAGACACACCAAATCACCATCAAAGAACTAGCGGCAACGAAGGCCGACGGTCGCCTCTTAGCCAAAAAGTTGCACTTGACCACCCCGCAAAGACTACAAATAACTAGCATGATGTTCTGAGCATGCATGAAAAGAAATATCTCTCCGTACCAGCAGGTTGCGGTGGTCCGTATTCATCATTTAATAAAGTAGTAGTGGTAATAGCTGTATTACTATAATAAGAGTGGGGATCGTAAAGTAGCAGTCATAGTGGCCGCAGCTGCTGCTCTAGTAGTTTTCTAAGCACAACGAAATAAGTATCAGTTTCAAACAAGTTGTTAATGTATCGTTTGTGTAAATGTGTTGGTTGCGTGCGCAGGATCTTAAGGGTAAAATCCTGGTGAAGGGGAAGAAGGAACACGTGGTTGAGGAACGTTCTTCCAGCTCTTCAGACCTCAGCTCCTCGGACGAGGAGTCCAGCCGCGCCGAAGGCAAACCCGGCCAAAAGACAGAGGACAAGAAGGTGGGTACGACACCACCAGCAGTAGCAGCAGTGGCTCCCCACCATATTTTTTTGTGTAATGTGATGGCTTTGTGTGTGTGTCATCTCAGCCAGGTGTGTCTAAGCTGAGTCCAGAGCTGTCAGAGCTGGTGGTGTACACCCGCAGTGTTCCCTTTAAAAGCTTTGAGCAAGCAGCCAAAAGCCCTGCAACTAACATGTCGTCTTTTTCCGAAAGTGAAGCGCTCAGGCACGCGAAGGACTCAGGTAAACTTAAAAGGACTGGCAAACATTTTCACTGTTTGCTAACCCTGTTTTCTGGCACGTTTGTGAGGTTGAACATGACACACCACAATAAAAAAACAGAATCGCTACTCTATTGCCTATTTTTTTGTGGGTTTTCCCGTGTTTAAAAAACCCACTATATAAGAAGTGGATGTAGTCATCGTGACGTCACCTGTTGGTTTGTCGACTGCTGTTTTGGAGCCTTGAGTTCAGTGATTTTGCAGTCGCCATGTTGTTTTTTTGGCAACCAGTGAACAGAAGTTACCATATTTGGACTGTGGAGGAGTGACGTAGAGATGCTGTATACAGCTCTTGTAGTGGTAGAGACCTATCAATCACAGTAAGCCCGCCCTAAAGCATACTCCTCTTTATGGTCTGTTTGACTCTAAATGGACCATAATTTACTAAATGAACATCATGTTGTATTGAAGAAGACTTGAAACTTGAGATTGAGACCATAAACTCGTGTTTACAATGTTTACTGAGGTAATAAATCAAGAGAGAAGTAGAGTCATTTTCTCATAGACTTCTATACAACCAGAGGAGTCGGCCCCTGCTGGTCTGTAGACAGAATGCAAGTTTTAGCACACTACCGCATTGGATTCCCTATATACGCAATAATGTCGGTGGAAAAAGGGTATATCTTCCTAAAATTAAAGAGAAATAGTTTGCATGCTGCCCACGAATTATTAAGATTTGGTTGATACAAACAGTTACCGATTAATTCTACCTTGTTCAGGCAGCACAAGGACAAAAGCAAAATGTGTCTTTCTTTAGCTTACAATTACTAAATTAATTTGACTTTTCTTGTCCTGTCCTTCCAGGGATGTATTTTGTCCGTCACAACAGCCACCAGCTGAGCAGGATTTACCCGTCAGGCCAGCGCCTCCAGTCCTCCAACTACAACCCTCAGGAGATGTGGAACGCAGGCTGTCAAATTGGTAAGAGCTTATTTTATGTTCTATTCACAAGAGAAGCAGACAGAGTAAACAAGAGTTGTTACTCAGACACACATTCTTCTTAGTCCTCTCATTGTGTGCTGCCCATACCCCCCACATCCCAGCCTCAGTAGCATCAAAAGAACAGGGTTGTTGTATGCTGGTAACACAGTTGTGTTTTCTCCAGTTGCTTTAAATTATCAGACACCTGGTGAGCAGATGGACCTCAACGAAGGCAAGTTCCTGCAGAACAATCACTGTGGGTACACGTTGAAACCTCCCTTCATGTGCCAGCCCGACAGCACCTTCAACCCGGAGAATGTTGGTGGAGGTTCTGGCCACAGACCTGTTCTGCTCACTGTTCGGGTAACATGCCTAATGATAAATGATAAATATATGATCAATGTCATGTCCATATATTGTATGATAGATCGATAATATCAACATTTTCAAGGTTAAGTCCATATATCATACAATAAGTCGATAATGTAATCATCGTGACTGGCCTGAATGTTTCTTACTGCAATGGTTCTAGGGAGTTGTAACATTTTCAATACAAACACAAGCCATGGAGGAAATCTATACCACAAGAGTATACTCAAAGAGTATCACTGTATCAAAGTGTCAGAACTGTTGCTGGATAAGCTCTTCTTGCTACTCTAATCAGATCAAGCTCTGATTTTATTGTTGTTCTAGGTCATTTCAGCTCAGCAGTTGCCGAAACCAGAATGGGACAAACCCAGCTCAATTGTGGACCCTCAGGTGTGGGTGGAGGTACATGGTGTTCCCATAGACAACAACAAGAAGAAAACTCATCATGTCGACAACAATGGTAAATACCTACCCTATTGAAAAAAATACCCTATGTCAAATTTAAATGGCTTCATCAACATCATATAGGAATTTCTACACAGCTTGAGATAGTCTTACAATTGATATTGTAGCTAAAAACACCATGAGATCTAGTTGAAAGCTCCAGGAAAAAACTGTAAATGGACCCTGGTTGAAAACAGTTGAATAAGGAATGCAAACTAACCGAAACATTGATAGTTGTAACAATATCCACTTTTATACAATTAATAGTGTTAAATACCACCCAGTTTAACATCAATTCAAAACAAATTCAAAAAACACATTTGGAACATGATGTGTTGATAAAGGGGTACTTGAGCTCATCTGACAGGGCTGTGGAGGTACATCAAGGTTGGGAAGCACTTACTGCATGAGCATGATAGAACATGAGCAAGTAAAATTGCACAAATTTGGTGTGAATAAGTCTGTTAGCATGTGGTCTTTCATTGTTCCAGGCTTTAACCCACGATGGGACTGTACCTTCAACTTTACCGTCCATGTCCCTGACCTGGCACTGGTTCGCTTCATGGTGGAGGACCATGACTATACCTCAAGCAATGACTTCCTAGGGCAATTCACCCTGCCTTTTACGAGTCTCCGCACAGGTGCGTGTGGGGATGGTAGAGTTTGGCTATTAAGGGGACTGTACCAATTACTTGTTTTAGTGCACTCAGTAGAGTTCAGATCATTGCCAGGTGTGTAACGACCATTGCTGTAGTGTTTGATTGAATAATAACAATCCACAATTGCCCCAAGTCTAGACCGCTAACATATTATGCTCTCATTTTAATTTATGCAGTTATCTGCACTGGCTTTGTGCAGCTGAACTGTAGTTGACTGTGTAACGCTTCATGTTGGCTGTGTAACACTTCCTCACACTTACGTTAGCTGTTAGCTCCATTAGCTGAATTAGCCTCGTTGGCTGTTAGCTCTGTTAGCCAAACACACTGCAGAACATTGTCTGATAACAGCTAAGTAGCCCTCTTACTACTGACATGAGAGGACGTCCTCCTAGTCAGCACTCGATTCAGTTTGTCCTTTCCATTATCTCTGCAGGTTACCGTCACGTCCGACTGCTCAAGCTGGATGGCTCCAGCCTCTCGCCCTCCTCACTCTTCGTCCATCTTAAGGTCACACAATGTCAGAGCAGGCCCTCAAAATCATCAGCTAAGTCACCGGCCAAGTCTTCAGCCAAGAAACCCTAAGCCCATCTCTACCACATACAGTAGCAATATGAAGAGTGGAAGCTGCCATGGGCTGGTCCCCAGACATATCTGCCCTGATCCAGGCAACAACAAAAAAAAGATCCGGGCCCAAATTGATCAAATTAATGATGATAACCTTGTTTTACAAATGTTGCAGCTATATCCATAACTTGTCTACATTTTATGGAACGAGAGGATAGTGTCGTGTCTCCTTAATCCCCCATTTATTGAAGGTTTTGCTTTTCAGAGCACAGACTCGAGAACTTACCGACAACTCATTGAACCAGCCTACAGAAGTCTATTGATCTATGAGACCGTGACCAAAGTTTGGTGTTAGATTTTGTCTTGACATTTTAAACATACTATTTCTTGCTACCCTCTCAAACATGCTAAGTCTCCAGCCTTCTGAAGTAATGACTTATTTTTATTAACTGTAATCATCTTATTGTAGTATATTTTATCTGATGTTATTTTTTACCTGTCAGTCATGTGTAGGTTTTTTGCCAGTGTATTGTCCTGTCAACAATGCAACTACTAAAAAGTATCCATCTGTCGCAGCTGATGAAGAAAATGTCAGGGGAAACACAAAAAGTGAATTTCAAACTAAAGACCCTGTAACTTTGGAAGGTTATATTTATACAGCTAAAGCCTCATATTAGCTTTAGCCTTTTTACAGTGGAGTCACATTAAAAAGGATCTATTCACAGCCACTATGAAAAGGATTAATAATGACAGGATTAATATTTACAACAACCAGTAACTCATAGTAGTACTGTATATTGTAATTTCAAGGTTTACTTCCAAGCTCATTGTGGAGCTTATGATCACATAATACTCGTAACCAGCAAATTAGTAACCAGGTTACTCAGAGAAACCAGGTTACACAGGTAATCTGAGAACATGTTTACAGGCACTCTAATAATGGATACTGGAAATCTGTGTATACAAGCAGCAGGACCGTATCCTAATACAGTTCTCAGTGTTAATCTGCAGGCTGTTTTCATTCTGTTTTCACTCTTCGTAGCTATACTATACCAGCTATGTAGTTGTTTTAACCCAGACGTTGACTTATTTATCACATAACTTTTGTTCTTAAGTTCTGTAGTTATTTTAACACAATTGTTGATTTATTTGTCACGGAAGTTTCGTAATTAAGTACTTATGTTGACCTAAACCACAATCTTTTCCTAAACCTAACCAAGTAGTTTTGTTGCCTAAACACGGCAGGGGCACGAAAAATGACCAACTCCCTTTTCGGAAAATATCAAACAAATGGTTGTATGAGGATACATTGAAGTTTGATACTCAAAAGTGGCAACTTTCCCAATACTATACAGCAAAAGCCATATGGAAAATAACGATGGATTTTTGAAGATGATACTGTAGATGATGAAGAAACTTTTCTGCCCGTCTGACATGCGCTGTACAACTGAAGGGGCCTTTGGCAGTTAAATTCCATCCTAGTACTTTAATAATGTAGCTCAGTGTGTTATATAAAATGTAAAATATGTTTTGAAGAGATAACTTTTTTGTTAAATGTTTGATTCACAGTGACTGTATTTTAGCTCGACACACTCAATTTGTTCATCCTTTCTATCAGTGAATGACCAAAATATATTATTAAGTAGCCATCTAGAGTTTTTATACTATAAATAGAATTAGCTCTGTTATGCAATAGATGATGATGCACTAGCTACATTTGCTGCCTTATTGTTAGCTTGTTAGACAAGGCGTACATGCACGTGCTTCATAGTAGCAATTACTTTTCTTAGCTTTATTTTACTTTGTCTTTAATTTACTTAGATACGTACTGTGCAGTGCAAGCCTGGCCACTGTGACTTAAATGCTTTATTAGTGTCAGTGTTTGAACAGATTATAAGACGTGTCTCTATGTTAGACATCACACTGTTAAGTCATCTGCTGTAGTTTATGTTAAAGAAAAAGTTTTACACAGCGTTGTTTTTATTGAGGACGGACCGTTTGTTTTGTTGGAGCTGGTTTTAGAACATTCATTTTTTGTTGATTTTCACATGACAAGGAGAACTATGAATATTTATACTAGGATAATCTCATGAAGAATCTTATGTTCAAGAAAAGGATTTACACAGTGTTATTTGTGTTTTGTTTTGTTGGAGCTGGTTTTAGAACATTATTTTTTGTTGATTTACACATGTCAAGAAGAACTATGAATATTTATACTAGGATAATCTCATGAAGAAACTTATGAATTGCAGGAATTTTTGGCAACACTTTCCATGTCTATGATGCATTATATACATGGGCGTCATAGAAAGTGTTACCGAATCAGGACTGTGTGCTAGGGAGATGAAGTGAGATCAGTATTAGTCTCCAATCTTCTAAATCTTTGGAATAATAGAAAAAACAACAACTTCAAAATATGTTTGGCATCGTGAGAAGACTGTTAATTTTTGTCCGATTCGATTTGACGAAGCAGATTATCAGACAGCTCTTGTAGAATTGGGCCAATATTTAACCATCTCAGACAAATCCCAGCCCTGTGTCTGATGACACTGCACTTTCTCACATGTATCAGGAGCTGTAAGTGTAAGAACTACCTACATGGTTAAACACCAAAGGTGTGTTTTTTTAACTGTAGCAAGTCATGATAACAAAAACTGTAACTGTACAAATCCAAAGCATTGAAATCATTGTTTATTGATTATATTTGAAGTATTATACTGTTTGCTTTTGTCATAAACCAGCTGTCAATCTGATGTTATTTATTGAAACAAGTAATATACACGATGATAGAATACAAATGGAATTAAAAACACTCTGAAAATAGTTGAACAAAGTGAAGAATCTGCCAGATAGTATTCGAGTAATGTTCTTAACCAAACTGTTAACGAACACTTCCAAATGATGTTTTTTTTTTTATTACGGTGAAAAAAAATAAAAGTATAAATTCAGTATTATATTGCCGTTGCTTGTATTTTTCATTCAAATCTCAATCATGAAGCATGTTTCCTGGAATCCAGTTTAAAGGGGAACACCCCCTAAATCTCCGAGGAAGGTTCTATCAGTATTTGTGAACATGAGCTACTCTCTCTCAAAGCCGGACACCAGAGAAGGAAGCATCAAAACATGTGAAGTCATCAGGTATAATGTACAAAATCAATCTATACATGTGTACTATTGTTACATACTTTTCTGTAACCATGGTAACCTGTGCCAACCCCATGTGACCAAACAATGATTTGTGGGAATCATAAAGTCTGAACTAATTCCAAAAAATATATATGACGGCCAGAAAAAGGGAAATCTTGTTTGAGTTTAAATTGAAGCGTTATTGACGCCATTGTCTGTCAATATTGGCATCACTACCGCAATGCATTGTGGGATATTAATGCGTAAGTGTTTGCATGCTGTAATGTTTTACAAGAATATGCAAAATGTACAATTAGTTTCACGCCCAAGTTTTCAGACAAGCAAAAAAAATCGTACATACTGTTTTAACGTACTAAATAGGTGCTAGTGTGGAAATTCAGAAGCAACCAATGAATGAGAGACTGATTTTGTGGAAGCTACAGAATGGCTGTTGTTCTTTATTCTACTGTAGTGTTCTCAGTTGTGCGACAGAACATGTACCCATATACTTAGAACAATTCCCCTGTGTCATCTATAACACCTTTCACAAATCACTACCTATGGAGCAGTTCCATACTTTACACTTGATGACATCACACGTTTCAGTTTTAGCCCACTAGTTTTGGGATTTAGGAGAGAGTTGTTCATGGTCACTCACATTCTGGCACTGACTCAGACCGTAGGAATAACATCGATGCATTTTGAAAATGGGCGTAGTTCTCCTTTAAAAAACCTCTCGGGGCTTGAACCAGCAACCTTTTTGTGCATTGGGTGGCTCACTGGCCACCGGAGGATTTGACACGTGATGGCCACCTGTGCCCACCAGGGGGAGCGACACACCGTGCTTCGTACTTCATTCGGTCTGCGAAATGAACAGTGGTGGAGTACCATATAGTTGTACCATATATGTGGGCCAGTTAAGTGCAAATTATAGGTACTTACACTTGAGTATTTCCATTTTAGGCAACTTTATACTTCTGCTCAAGTGACTGTTTCCAGGAAAAAAATCTGTCTCGTCAATGCTTTTAGCTGAAATAGCAAGCTGTGTCACGTGACCTCTTTCCACCAACCAGAGCCTCACAATAAACTATTTGGCCACACACACCAGGAAGTAAACAGCACCTTGACATGCTATTAGAACTTATTGTACATATCACGGCCACTTAGCGTTTTTATTAGCGTCTAAGTTTCCTCATATCACTTAGGTGGTTTTCGCGCGCATGTGTCGTTGATGTAATTAAAATTTAGCGGACAAAAGTGTCTATTCTTCAATGGCCAGTTCTTTTCCAAGTGTACACGAGCTCGTCGCGCGTGCTCGGCTGTTGTATGGCCAGGTGTTCGGCGAAGAGGCTCCTCAGACGGCGGTGTGTGCCCCCGGAAGAGTCAACCTGATAGGGGAGCACACCGACTACAACCAGGGATTTGTGCTTCCGATGGTAACATCACGACTGTTGAACAGCTCACCGGTGTGATTTGGGTGAAAGGGATACACCGTTGTTTGACTGTCACGCCAAATCTCGTCAGAAATTCTGGCAATTTAATGTTTTATGTGGTGCCTGTTGGTGCACGTGTTATAGCAGCTCACGGACTGTTCTGCTCTGTAATAGTGTGTTACAACAGCGGTGCAGTTCAGAATATAGCCCAGGTTAATAGGGTAACAATTCATCATAGATATAACCATGGGAATTGATTAATTACCAGCTGGAATTAAGAAACAAATAGATATATAAAATTATTTCCTTATATTATATGTTTGAAAATGCGAATAAGGCATTATCTTATTAAATACATTTCCAGGACAGAAATCCGAACATTGGGTAAAGCCAGATTCAAAATTCTTGTTTCATTTTGTTGAAATATTAGTTTCAAAGGTTTTTACAGAAGTGGTTTCCTATATATCTTAATTTTTCCTTCCATAAATCAGAAGACATTGTCAATAGCCATACAAACTCCATTTCTGCTTTTAGTGATATAATGTTGTACAAATGAGTCTCTGAATGATATGTGAACAAACCCCTCTGTAGAAACCTTCACAATAGAGAGAGTAATTAAAGTGTAATGTTTGGTGTATGTAAGAGCTACTGAAGTGGAGATTTCTGGATCAGAGTCTGAGAAAAAAACTCATTTCGAGAAAACGGCCTTTCCAATCATTTTTAGGACACTACGGGTGAATAGGGTAAAAAAAAAATAGATACAACCATACAACTTCCCCAGTTGATTACTGACATTAATACAACATTTTTTTTTTTTTAATATTACAAGTTCTCTGAAATGTTTTGTTTAATATGCAAATTGGGCATTTATCTAATGCTCATCGTAACAGAAGAGCAGAACCTCAGGACTGGAAAATGGACTATAGTTCCACATATCCGTGATAAGCAGGAAACGTAATACTTCCTGGTTTTATTTTTAGGTTAGTTCCCCTGTGACACAGAGGAAAAGATAACCACTCAGCTGCGTTGTGTTTGTTTGGGTTTGGTGAGCCAGGCGCTGCCCCTGGTGACTGTCGTGGTTGGGAGTCAAACCTCTGGCCCCGATGTCACCGTGGTAACGGCAACCGAGGATGCTGACGAGCCTCGGAGGGTGGACTTCAGCCTGCCCGGTGATGGATCACCACTTCCTCCGGGGTTACCCCGCTGGGCGAACTATGTGAAGGGTGTTATCCAGCATTACCGGGGTAAACAAAGCAACGAGTGTATTGACTGCTATAATGACATCACACTTAATGAAAAATAGATATTACTACTAATAGTACTACAGGAGTTTATTTTCCAGTGTTTACCCCTTCCAGTGAATGTAGTCCTGTCAAAGTGAATGAGAACAGATCTGCAGCATATCTCACATGTTGACCTGCTTTGGTCGGACACCGCAGTATATTTATTTCATGTGTTCTGTCTCCCCTGTCTGCTGTGCTACAGCTCCTCCTGTCCCAGGTTTCAGGGCGGTGATAGCCAGCAGTGTCCCCCTGGGAGGGGGTCTGTCCAGCTCTGCCTCTCTGGAGGTGGCTTGCTACACATTCCTGCAGCAACTCAAGCCAGGTCAGAATCTGAGTTCGGTCGGACCAGCGTGACTCTGATGTTCAGGTAGTGCAGACAGGAAGGAATCTGTCATTATATTAGAGATGGATGAAGTGATTTTTCAAGGAATGGCCAATATTGGATTGACGCATCAGCAAACTGATGAGTTGGTGTTAACATGAACTGATATTGCTTAATTACAGCCTGAAGTTCTGCTGAGGCTAAAATTCTTTCAAATTTTTGTTTACTTAAAGACTGTATGTAAGAAGTGGAGGCGGTCACCATCACGTCACCTGTTGGTTTTTGAAGCCTTGACTTTCAGCATTTTTGCCGTCAACCTCTTGGTTTATGGCCAACGCCATCTTGGTTGACACGAGAGGGTGGAGATAAGTACAACTGAATGCTGAATGTAAAACTGTTACAGTTAACTTTTACAATACAACTTCCAGACCAGACAACGCTGTGGTAGCGACCTGTCAATCACAAGGTAGCCCCGCCCTAAAACATACTCTGCTTTATGGTGTATTTGACTCTAAATGGACCATAATTTACTAAATGAACATCATGCTGTATTGAAGAAGACTTGAAACTAGAGATTGAGACCATAAACTTATGTTTACAATGTTTACTGTGGTAATAAATCAAGAGAGAAGTAGAGTCATTTTCTCATAGACTTCTATACAGTCTGACTTCTTTTTGCAACCAGAGGAGTCGTCGCCCGATGGCCAGTAGAGAGACTGCAGGTTTAAGGCACCTCTGCATGGGCTTCACTTTCCAGAACCAGAGGTGGCCGTCTGTATTTACTCTCCATGTTTTTTCATCTTTCAGATGAAGGAGACAAGGTATCCACAGCGGTGGCCTGCCAGAAGGCAGAACACACTCATGCCGGTGTGCCCTGTGGCATTATGGATCAGTTTGTGTCTGTTCTGGGCAGGGAGGGCCATGCTCTGCTCATTGACTGCAGGTAGTGTACATATCCAATGAGAGCAGGTTAATCCAAAGGTTTTTGAGTAACATTCTTCTTTGTTACAATTGGCATGTTTGTGGCAAAACGCTTTCAAAGGTGGAGGGATATTTTTACGTCCACCATTTTCAATAATGTACTTGTCTGTGGTTGGACTCAGGTCGTTGGAGGCCACCCCAGTCCCTCTGGCAGATCCAGACTTGGTCATTCTCATCACTAACTCCAATGTGAAGCACTCTCTGACCGGCAGCGAGTACCCCATGAGACGCAGACGGTGTGAGGAGGCTGCCTCCATCCTGGGAAAGGACAGTCTCAGAGATGCCACTATTAAGGACCTAGAGGGTGTGAAATATATATATTTTTTATCATCCTGTCCCTTTCTGTCTTATTTTATCACACCCTACCTTTCTCTGTTGTGGACTAGCTCACTATCCTAATTCCTGCCATGTCCTCCTCCCATTCATATCAATATATCAATGCTGCATATTTTGATAAAGGAAATTCATTTTAACTAACGTCCAATGCTCTTGAAGCTCATTGAAGCCCGACGTAGCGTGTGAATTCCAGACGTGTCCCTATCATTTCAGAGGCAAGGGACAGACTGGATGACGTAACCTATCAAAGAGCTCGTCACGTGATTGAGGAGATAGAAAGAACCGTCCAAGCTGCCGAAGCCCTGAAGAGAGGCGCCTACAAAGAGTTTGGCAAGCTTATGGTGGAGAGCCACAACTCCCTCAGGTAAAAGTTAAAGCAGCTGCATCGCACCCGTAGAACCTTAGAGTCACGGTTTAGGACATAATGTGGGAGAGGTATGTGTGTTCACCGGGTGTCCCTGTGTCAGAGACCTGTACGAGGTGAGCTGCAGGGAGCTGGATGAGCTGGTGTCCGCAGCCATGGAGGTGCAGGGGGTGTTTGGCAGCCGGATGACCGGCGGAGGATTCGGCGGATGCACCGTGACTTTGCTGCAGGCGCACGCCATCAACCATACTATACTCCACATACAGGTTAAAACACACACTCCTTCATATACTGTGTATTGTAGAGACCATATGTACTGTATGTGAGTTATTAGGATTATCATCAACAAATAAGTGTTTTGTTTTTAATGTTTTTTAAAAATACTTGTATTGAAAGCTAGTAGATGCACATAGATAAGCTATTAGGCCAAAATTTGCATTTAAAGGTGCAATGTGAAAGATGTGGCCAGAATTTAAATTTAAAGCCTTCTAACTAAAATAATCAACAGAATGTTAGTGTTGATGTCATGTCAAAGACGTGTTGCAGAGATATCTGAAATGAGCATGCTAACCAGCTAGCCCCGACCCGTCCTGTCTTGTAGTACCACTTGTACCTCCAGAGGGCGACAGTGAGTCACTGTAGCGTCCAGTCTTTCCCTCTGTCCAACATCAGAGAACCAGTAAGTAGAGCTACCCACAGGGCTTGTTGAAGGTACAAGGCCATCACAGTAAGCCTGCCCATAAGCATGCTCTTCTTTATGGTCTATTTGATTCTAAATGCACCATCATTTACTAAATGAACATCATGCTGTATTGAAGAAGACTTGAAACTAGAGATTGAGAACATAAACTCATGTTTACAATGTTTACTGAGGTAATAAATCAAGAGAGAAGTAGAGTCATTTTCTCATAGACGTCTATACAATCTGACTTCTTTTTGCAACCAGAGGAGTCGGCCCCTGCTGGTCAGTAGAGAGAATGGTCAGTAGAGAGAATGAACCTCCAGTTCTTCACTCTGCAGAACTGGAGGTTGCCACCTGATTAAATCAGTGATTCCTCATTTTCCATTCGTCCGCCTTTCACATTGTTGTTTAGTTTTTATTTGTTGGCCACATTGCTTCATAGATCTCATTTTAAATGATTACTTTTGGTTTAGTTTTAGTCCTGCTTCGTTGAGAAAAACAGGTTGTCAATAAATAATTTCCGTCAGAATTTTGGTTGTCTGAATTTAACACTGGGTCAGACTGTAAAAGCACATGTGATCCATGGAAGTGTTAGATCTGTTAGATCTTGTCCTCTCATCCATCTCAGATGTTTCAAAATGATTGTGTTTCTCTGTTATGAACCAAAATATTACACTCGACTCCCAACTTTAAGTTGAGCATGGGCATTTTGTTGTGGATGCATATTTACACACCAGGCGACATGCTGCTGTGTTTCTTTCTCTTCACTCTATTGCTTTCAGTTGAAGTTCTTTTTGATATCATTTACTTTTGAAGATCACATCTGTAGCGAGTAATGGACTTGTATATATTCAGCTGACTTCTTCTCATCCTGCAACATAGGAGGTGCAACTAAGTCAGTTGCAGTTGGGAAATTAAACCTTTTCTGTTTTCACGATTCTGTTTTCTGTAAAAATCTTTGCATTCCGAACGGCATTTGAAATGAAAAGTGTCAGAGGACATTTGTTCACAGGGCATAAAAAGCACATTCAATGTTCTGTCTGTCACTTTAAGGGGCGCATTTCACACAAATTGCCCCAGTCCCTCGTGTCTTGCTCAGACAGCTCGAGAGAGAGAGAGAGAGAGAGAGAGAGAGAGAGAGAGAGAGAGAGAGAGAAATCAGGGGGTATGAGCTGAGAATAAGAGCGAGCTTCGTGGAGCCACAAGTGTCCAGTTATCAGCATGCTGGTCTGGTCACCGTGGTCCTGCTGCTTTTCTGTTTTTAACACAGTCAGACTTTGGGCCTGCTGTTAGTGGACACCACTCAGAATCAACAAAGATGCACATTTAACCACAGAAAATCACAGGAACTTATAAGGATGACACGTTTGCTTGGCACAAATGAGAAGGAAAAGAGCAGCAGCCTTCTTTTTTTTTTTTTGTGTTTGAAACTCCTGTTTCATAAATCTTCAGTTTTGGAAGCGGACTTGGCAGATTTCCTCGCATCTTTTCTAACTTGACTGTGTCCTGGCTACTAGCTGTCAAAGGAAACAAGTCTTTCTTGGAAACAAAAGAAGCACTTGGAACATCCACATCCCCTCGGTCCTCAGCATTCCTGACCTCGTCCTCCCAATAACAACATCAGAGAGAGCTTCGCGATCGCCTTGCCACCAAGATGCCCAACCTCAACTCACCGGACGACAACAGCAACAGGAACTCTCTCCAGGACCCGGTGTCGCTGAACGTTGGTGGGGAAATCTACACCACCACCCTGGGCACTCTGACAGGCTGCCGCGACTCTATGCTCGGCGCGATGTTCACCGGACAAATCCCTGTGCTGAGAGATAACGGAGGGAACGTCTTCATAGACCGAGACGGTAAAGTGTTCCGGTACATTCTGAACTACCTGCGCTCCAGCTCCCTGGATCTGCCGGAGGGCTTCTCAGAGCTGGCACTGCTGCGGAGGGAGGCGGATTTCTTTCAAATACGGCCCCTGCTGGAGGAGATTTGCCGCTACGAGGCGTCGGTGCCTCTCAGCCTTAGAGGAGGGCCCCTAGGAGCCATGATTGTGCTGAATGTTGATTCCAAGGTATGCCTTTTTTTTAAGTTAGAGCAATATTTTCTCTACATTGAATCAAATCAATGGGCTTCATGCATTGTAAAATTCTTCCCTTTACTAATTTTTGTGTATAAATCTTTCCCTAAAACAGGATGGACTATCGATTTTACAAGTCCAGTTAAGAGTTTGGTGAATGTGACTTTGAACACTTGTACCAGCAAACCTCAGATAAAAAAAGATTTTGGATAAGGTAAAAGAAAATGTTCTTGCATGAGGCGCATTGTTTGAGTTTTAATTCATATTAGATATTGACCTAAATACCTTAATGGGTTTCTAAATGTAATTTCCAGAGAAGTTCCAGAGAATAAAAAGTTCATTCACATAGAGGTGATGAGACCCTCTTATAACCCTCACTGCTAACAGTCAGTTTGAGATCTGGAGGCTCAGAAGTAAGCTAAATGGACAGTACCGACTCCTGAGATTGTTTTTGAGAGTCAGATGTGGTTTTGGTCTCGTGAGACAGGGGAGAACTTAAAGGAATAGTTTGACATTTTTCTGAAACAACACCTATTTGTCTTCTTGTTGAGAGTTTGATGAAAAGATTGACACTCTCTGTGTGTCGGTACACTAAATATAAAGCTGCAGCCAGCTGTCGGCTAATTTAGCTTAGCATAAAGACAAGAAGCGGGGGATGAAACGGCTAGCCTGGCTGAGAGAAAGAATGTGGTAATTAGCGAGGTTTTAACAAAGTTTACTTTAGGACAGAGCCTGGCTAGCTGTTTTCAGTCTTTGTGCTAAGCTAAATTAGCTTCATATTAGGCGTACCGACACAATGTTCCTCGAACTCTTGGTAAGAACGTAAATAGGCACGTTCCTCAAAATATCAAACTTTTCCCTTTTGACCTGAATTTCAATTGGGTTCAACAGAACGTTTTAAGAATGTTTTAGATATGACTGGCCTTGGGTAACCTTTGTGAGAGCCAGTTTGTGTTTGCCATATATACAGTATGTGAGTAGAAGATGTCTGTTTGCACATTCAGAGACATGGACGGACTGGTTCTTTTGTTTGTGTGCACTCTGGAGGATGTGTAGTCAGCACAGTCTGCCCTCTCATTCCAGGTCCGCATTCTCCACTTCAACCTGCGCCATGGGCCAGAAAACTATGAGCTCCGTACATGCTCCGTGCGAGCCTTCACAGTGGACCTCTTTTGTACCTGGAGGGCCTTCCTGGCCCTCCTCTGTGAGCGCTTCTCCTACAGAACACCCCAGGGCCTCGCTAGCCCCTGTCTGTGCAACCCGACGCAGAACAGGCTGAAACTGGAGTGGGTGCCGAGGCCCGACGAACTGCCGCGGGATCAGTACGACAAGCAGCGCTACCGGGGGCTGACTGTCTCGTACCCGGAGCTGGTGCAGTCGGACAACATCATGAACATGCACCACAACCCGAGCGATATCGTGGACATGCAGGGGTTTGTGGAGGAGCTGCTGAAGGTGTCTTTGGCTGAAGGCTTCAAGGTTGATCTGGTGACTCCCGACCCGGCAGAAATACTTAACTGCACCTCACTCCGGCTTGTCAAGTCCTGAGCTCTAGGCAAAGAACTTAAACTAAAAGCACCAGAACATGCCAAGTTCTGAACGATTATTCTCTGTGGTCACAACTCAACCAGCTATCAAGTTAGTTAAGAGTTGGGGCTAACCTTTTTAATCAAAGGGATACAGATTATGACTAGGAGGTCACTGAAAATTATTTTTTTTGTCTGTGGTCTCCGTGTTTGTTCTCCTGTCATATGGTTTACTGAAATAGTAAATAATAGGCTGTGTTAAAGGCAGAATGATTCTGTCTGTATCTGTAGAGACCCTGCCCTCTGCCTTTATTTTCTTATTTTGCTGTGTTGTGGGCATTTCTGGCCGTCAACCTGCTATAATAACGTAGCGTCGGGGGGCCAGATCCGAAGCATGTGTCCAAGAGAAAGATGGCAGCCACAGTGCCACAAAAAATGCAAATATAAAGAGGTGAAACGCCAAGTGGACAAAGTCATGGGTGTGTAAAGAAAACTGGATGCAGCGTTGGAGACGGGGCCCCGTTCATTCCTATGAAAGTTTCTCAGTGGTGCATGAAACCTCAATGGCTCGACTGCTGTGTATAAAATTACCTGGATCTTCTGCATCTTTGGGTGCGCTAGCATTTCCTTTAACCCCTCCTCTCAGCTGCTTGGTCTCTGCTCTCTCACATGAACGGCAGTTCATTGTGCTAACGGATATAACAGACTATTAGTGCACTTTGTAACTTTTAGGACCCAATGATTTAAATCAGGGCTATTCAAGTGTTCATACCGGGGAGTGGATATACCTTAAAAAAAAAGTGATTATCTGCTGACGTCTCTTTTGCTATAGAAGTATATGGGGAAAATGTCCTTCTGGGCCTAATTTCACCACGTGAAGAACTCGGAAGTTGTAATGCCACCGTTCAGCCACTACGAAAATTGTACTCACTTCTGCTTCCCATGCAGCCCTGTAGATTCACCAGTAATACCTTTCATGAGTTTCTTCATTTATTACATTATGATCTATGGATAATTCTGTTCTCAAACTATTTCTCTCCAAACACAATGACTTCCTGGATTCCTGTCGTCGCCATGAGGTTGCCAAGCAACCAGCGGACAATTCAGTCACTGTGACTAGCCGATGGCCAAGAAATATGAAGTTTAAGCCAGGCTGGCTGTTTCCAGTCTTTATGCTAAGCTTAGATAATTACTTCTGTACTGTAGCTCAAGTCAATGCACGGATATGAGTGTCGTCTAACAAAAACAGGACTTTCACCCAGGAGACTGGTGTCTGTGTCCCCTGTGAAACCAATAGTCAATGTTGTGGTGGGTAAAATTACATAAGGTAACAGACATACTACTTTTAACCCAAACCATAATCTTCTGTTTCCTAAACCTAAAGAAGTAGTTTTGTTGCCGACAAAGAAGTAGTGTTGTTACCTAAACCTAACGTTGTTTCGCTAGCGCTGGCATGTAATTCTATCACATTCCATGCCTCCACGACGTAATGAGCCATTAAGAAGATGTTTGACCTATTTCTGTGAGATCACATTGCCTTTTAGACTTAGAAATTCCGCCTTAGACCTAAAACATACAACATATGTCAGAGTTACATTTACTTCCTATTTTACTGACATAGTTTTGATTTTGAAAGTCAAGTTTTTTTGCTGTGTTTTCTACATAGTTGACATTAATGGTAAGATGATATTTTGTTAGACTTGACTAATAATATATTTTTCCAACAAAAAAAAAATCGGCACCAATGCTCCACATTAGAATTAGCTTATTGACATTATTTCATGATAAATTAAAGTCTGAGTTATGAACTCGGTGTGTAACTCTGGAGGAGGAGAAGATGCGTCTTGGCTGAAGAGGAAAGGCGTCTCACTGCGATAAACAAACCCAGTGGTTCTTTCTTCTGGCTCCCTCTTTGAACTTTATTCCTCTGACTGTGAGGAGCATGAAGTGGCTCTGCAGCCGCTCTAGATGGACAGTCTGGTTCCATCATGCTTATTCACATTCTGCGCAAGGAACATCAGTATGCTCACGTACAGCTGTAATGCTTAGCGCTCAGATTTAGGGATTTGTTTCAGATGTATTGTTGGTTGAAGGTTACTATGGATTAAGTACTCATGTGTGTGTTTGTATGTTTGTCATTTTTTCCTTAACAGGAGCGATACAGTGGAATCCCAACTTTCTATGTCACAACTCCTTCAGAGGGAGCTCGGGCTCTCAGTCTGCCCTGACCGTTGTCGACGCATCTCTGCTGTATAACCGATTCATTCCTCTTTATGGGCGTTTCTTTTTCCTTTCAATCTTTCACTGTTAATATGAAACTAATGCTGTTATGCACACGAGCTGATTGAGATGTTAATGTGCCTTCGCAGTAAAACATTGTTTTACCTGTTCTGTAGCAAACAGCAGATGGACACAGTTAGAGATTAGCTGGTGGAACATTTAGTATCTGAAGAGACAGAATTATTTTTCCTCAGGAGTTGGTGGAGAACAAAAACGGAGCTAAAAGGAGACTGAATATTGTTCTAGCATCCATCAGGTGGACACAAACCTGTTAATGTGTGCTAGATGTGTAAGTAAGAGATCGTATGTGGACACATTAGCTATAACAACTTTGTACGGCAATAAAATATAAGGGCTTTGTGTCGACTTCCTCCGAATAGTGGCCAAGAACGACTCGGCTTTAAAGGCCCTGCACACTCACACAGGTGTATTTAATTATTCTGGCTAATTAGACTTCTGCTCATCTGCTTGATAATGGGCAGATATATGATGAGAATTGTAATATGACAGTTGATTTATTATTATTTTAATAAAACTGATACTGCAGCTCATACTGAAGGTGTTAGTTGGGGTCAGCTAGATGTGAACCAAACACGGCCTGGACTCGCCTACAGTCGTTCTTAAGAAAAAGACTAATCAGGCAGATTAAGTGCAAACATCTTTGGGCTGAGCTGTAGGTACACAGGGGCTTTAAATAATATGCCAGTTTATATTAATAAAGCTGTTTTCAGATTTAAAAAAAAGAACTGTTATGCTTTTGTTTTAAAGCTTATACCAGAAGTCTTATCTTATTCTCAACCTGCCCCTATTTGAAATGAAATGATCAAAATATTCTGTAATTTAATGTGGGAATTAACAGGATTTAAAATCATACTTTTCCTTTGGTACCTTGATTTAAAATAAATAAATAAAAGTTCCTGTCTTGTTTTAATGTTCTGCTGGAAGGAAGCTCTGTAGAAGCTGAGGTGTCTGTATGTTTTCATAAACTTTCCTTTTGAGCGAAAGGAAAGATCAGATCAAATTATAGGCTTTTTCAATGGGATTTTTTTTAAATCCAAAAGCATTCTTGTCCATAGTTTGTTCCAAAGATCAGATCAAATTATAGGCTTTTTCAATGGGATTTTTTAAAATCCAAAAGCATTCTTGTCCATAGTTTGTTTCCACTCATTGTCTGCGTTGTGACAGATTTACCCATAGTGGAATGTTCTCTTGTGAATATGGGTTTCAGATGTTATTGTAGTGTAATAACCTTGTTTATGTGTAAATATAGCGAATGTTTATAAGCAACTGTTGCCTGTTGTTGCTTGCTTGAGTTTTGGTTAGACAACCCATCAAAGTGATAACTCAAATATCTCTCTTCTGCATTTTAGTTAGTGTATGGCAATTGTGTCTGCAGAACAATTGTTGCTTAAAATTTAATTTATAATCAGAAAATGGTAAGAATTTGCCAATATAAAGAAAAACATCTAAAAACATTTTCTGTCCATATTCTAAATTCAGTGTCTCCGTTATAATTAAAAAATGTAAACACCTCATAATTTTAACAAACATCGAACAACCATTTCCCAGTAGTGGGATTATCATTTTGACAATAATTGTTGTCTTGACTTATCCAAACAGAATACCCATTTTGCTACGAATATAAAGAGTATCCTGTTTCAAGAGAGATGATGAAAGAAGCCCTTCGTGAAAAAGTCATAGGAAAAACTGCACTGACCTATGAAATGTTTTAGAACAGAAGCGAACGCGGAAGTGGGCCGGGATGGGCGGGTTTTGAGCTCTTGGTATGAGTTTAACGAGGTGCACTTGAATGCATCACAAGGGAGGAGTTAGCAAAACAGTGAAGTTTAGCCTAGCAGGAAACACCGAGGTTACCACAGTGGAAAAAGAAGGAGCACCAGTCCACGTTTTAGTTTTAACTGGGGCTCAGTTGTGATATTTCCTCGGCAAATACACTGTCGCTTAGATTCTGGGAGTAACATTACTCGCTTACGGTCTGGTCACATTGTTTCCCGACTTTGAGGATAGAGCTTTAGCCAACTAAATCACCCGACACTGGCCGGGGGTGGACTCTTCTCCAGCGGCTGTGAACTGTAGACATCCTCTGAGCAACGGCTGCTTTGAATCAGGTGGGTTGGGAGCTCGTGCCAACAGGTGTTTGCTTGAGTGTCAGGAGGCTAACAATGTAACTAACGTCACCGTGTTCATCATAGCCACCAGTTTGACGTCCAGCGCCTGAATAGGTCCAACTCGAGCTAACTAAAGTTGCTAGGTTAGCCAGAAATCACTCTCCCTATTGCTGACTGGCTAGCTGGCTAACAACTAATATTCCACCCAGAAATCAAAGTGCTAGCGCCATATGTAATGACAAGCGAATTAGCACATGACGTAGAGTTGGCTGCATTGCTCACAACATACATTCTTATATTACATGTTAAACTTTAAGGAATTGGGTTAAGTTAACGTTGCCTAACGTTACTATCTCACACGTATTCCAATGGAAACAGACATGGGTGTACGGTCATAAAAAAAAACCTGAAAATTCATGTTTGTACAGCTTGTGTTGTGCCTCAGTGGTTTTGCTTGGTGTACTTCTTCCATGCCGAACGTACCATAGTGACTGAATGACTTGAAAATCTCGTCAGTCATGTTCTACGGAAAAGAGGGTCTGGCTATAACGACACCCATGTTGAATCGGCGTTTTTCTTGTGTAAAGATTGGTAAGGATGCGGTATTATCCAATCTCGTATTGTGGTTTGCCAACCATCGCCTAGCTTGTTAACTAAACTTAAACTTAAACCATGCGTCATGGGGGAACTTACTACTAGCTTAAGTGGGCGTTAGCAAACACCTGGGCAGAAACTATAGCAACTTGAAGCCGTTGATTTGGCAAGGACGTATCTCCGGTAACGTCACAGAAAATGATCAAGAAATGTATCTGTAAACTATGTTGCCAGTGGTACCGAAGAAACCGTGGCGTTTCCTGCAGACAGGTGAGTAGTAGCTGGGAGACGGAGGTTGCGTAATGACGGAAACGTAGAACCTCAGCAAGGCGTGTCTCCTCGGCAGGTATGTTAGTGAGCGCCCTTTGAGTCAACGGTCTGGTTTCAAGCATGAGTAATCGGTGCGTTTGAGGAGGGGGTGTGTGAGCGAGAAGCGTTTCACCGGTTTGACTAGTGTCTGGGCAATTCACAACACCACAACATGTAGAATACAAATACTAACAGCCCCTACTCTACTTTGTCCAATCAGCCAGAGCTAACTCTCAATTAGCTCATTTGTTGTACCAAACTGCGACGCGTTTGGGTCCTCATGTGTCAACTGCACGCTCATCCAGTGGACTGTATACATGTAACTAAAGTCCTCCCGTCTCTTTAAAGCCCAGTATCATCGGCTGGTTAACTTTGACATACGGTTGCATAGACTGAGTCCCACAATCTGGACAGGATACTGCTTGAAGGACAAAGGCTGTGTCCTTGCAACTCCACCTGCATGAGCTAGCCCAAACAAACAGCCTTTGTTCTCAGTAGCTATTACACCTGCATGGTAAAGTCCACCTGTAGCTATTATGCAGGCAAAATAAATGGCCGCTCCCAAATCAGTGTGTTTTAGAGGAGTTGGCTTGAGCAAAAGCAGGAGGGTATTTTTTATTTTTTATTTTTTTATGTCTCTCTTCATTTGCACGAATGATGTGAATATACATGCCAGAAACCTTTAGAACAGGAAGTTAAATGATCTAACCACACATCGGTGAGAATGCTGTCAGAGAGGCTTACCTTGCTTGTAAACTTCAAACAGAGCGCTCGGCTCGAGACAGTCACGCTGTGTTTGGTGCTGTTAACTGTTAACCTGATTCCTGTTTTCACCTCTCCCAATGTGCAACACAATATCTGGCATGAAAAGAAGCTTTTTTTTTTTTTTTTTTTTTTTTTTTTTTTTTTTTTTTTTTTTTTTTCTTCTTTCTTCTTCTGTCTCTTGCTAATGGGATTGCACAGGAAGTAAAAATGCTGCAGAATGTTCCCCTCACTCATTCTCTTTATAGCAGGTGCGCCAGGTCACAGCTCATTGTGAGAATGTAGTATGTATGCATGTTGAGTTTTAAATGACGTTAACATAATCAAAGTACATTGGCTGCATATCCAGTACCTTTATCTTGTTTTGGCCAATATTTTTTTCTCCACACCCCCCTATCTTGGCAATAATATTATGTTAAATACGCAGAGGTAGGGCTGTATAATTGGAGGGAAATAGCTTAACAATTAAACAATTGGTCAGCAGATTCATCGCTAATGAAATTAGTAATTGCAGCCTACAGGTCTGTATTTGTAGTCTTCGTGATATTATTCAAGATGTGATTGTACCAATCATACAAACCCATGTTCTATTTATTTTTTGCCGTTTTTCTAATGTTAGTTCTAACTTGACATCACTTTCTGTTTAAACTTGATTATGGTCTTCATAAGTGGGATAATGTACAGTGAGGGGGTCATTGTTGCAAAATCAACCCCAACAGGACGAGCAGGACCCCAAAGTGAGGTGGTCTACTTATTTAAGACACAAAATATTGATTTAAAAAGTCAATAGTCCGCTCCCTGTGTATGCTGATCAGAACTGTGTCCACAGCAGAGGTCTGTTATTCAAAGCAGCGGTGTGCTATAAAGAAACAGACCGTATAGTGCCGTCATTGACCAATCAGAATGGAGTATTTAACAAAGCTGCGCAATACTTAGACACACTGTCATGGTTTCAAAGTGATCTGGCTGCATTATTTAAACAGGTGACTATCGGTTTAGCATATCTAGAGGCGGAAGACAGAAGTTGTTTAGCAGCAAATTCCTTTTTCCACATTCAAAATGTGATAAATACTCACAAGAACTGCTAAATATTACCTCATGTTTTAACACATTCAGTCACCCGTTAACCGGGACACCACCTGATCCGTAGCACCAGTGCTCTCTGACACCTCCCTCATCATCAGTCCTTATCCCGCAGAATCAGAATCAGCTTTAATTGGAAGTCGTCATGTATTCAGGCCTGACACGAGGGGAGCACCTTTTTAAATCCTCTGTATGTTAAGTCCCTGTCATGAGTGAACTGAAGTTATCCCACTGACAGTGACAATCTGAGTGTAAACATTGTCTGTCCGCCCCCCCTCCTGTGTCTCCCTGGCTCTGATTACAGGAAGAGGCAGTGAGTTGGTGGGAGATATGATATCCTACCAGCCACGCCCAAGGCTGACAAGATCTCCTGTCTGCTTTGTTAGGGACAGTGGAAGAAAGTGTTTCCTGTAATGTCCTTCTGCGCCGTCTTGTCAGCCGCGTTCTTCTGCCCAGCTCTCTCTCTGTCTCAGCCAAGTGTCGGCACAACACACCCGATGGTTTGCGTTTCAATCTGCTCACATGCCTCCCTCCCTCCTCTTCCACGTGGTTGCCGACCTGACACAAAATCGCGCCCGAACTCCCCGAGCACACCAGCCAATACTGACTTGAGTGCTCACCACGACCAAGAATAGCTCAGTGATCTCCAGCCCGAGATCACAGAGGTGTCGGGGCGTGCACTTCCAGTTTAATTTGGTGCCTTATCACCTGTGTGTGTGAGTGAGTTGTAACAAGACCATGTGTGTAAGCCAGTTCTCTCTAAAGCAGCTGTCAAACCAGTTTGTGTGTGTGTGGTTTCTTCTATAGCTGCATTTTAACACAATATGAATGGAAGTGTCTATACTTCAGTGCTATGACTTGATCAACCGTCACTCATTGAGGGGCTGATCAGCTTTGCACATTTTGTTGTTTTTTTGCAGCAAATGCAAGCACAACTGTTGATTGCAGTCCATAAGAAGAATGTTTTGGATTGCCAGTCATTTCCTGGTCATTCATTTCTCCTCCGAGGTGCTATGCCGTTGACAGACGCAGTCCATGCAGCTCTACAGGTCGAGCCTCCTCTTCTTCATGTTGTTATTGTCGTGTCCAGGCATGTTTAGGCACCTTTTTTTTTTTTTTTTTTTTTTTTTTTTTTTTTTTTTTTTTTTTTTTCTCCCCTCCGTTGACTCCCTTCTCAACTTAGATGGCTCTGTTGATATGCTGGGAATTTGATGACATCACTGAACTGTGGGGAACGAAAGATAACACAATTTAACCAAAGGACATTTGGGAGAGTGTGTTGGTCGGCTGAGGCGACGCATTCAAAGCAGACCGAGCTGCTGAATGTGACCCGTGTGAGAAGAGTCGATAAGCCAGTTTAATTTGCTACCAAAGGTAAATACAGTACGCCATCTCATCCTGCTGAGAGATGAGCTCACCGTAGATCAAACAACGCGATGAAAGACGCAGCGTTTGCCATCATTCGCCGATTTCTCAGCACAAGTTCATTACTCCCCTACTGCCAAGTAGAATTCCTGAGAAAATCCATATCTGACAGTAAAACTAGGCCACGTCACTGTGCAGCACTCTGCTGAAACTGGCTCATCTCTCTGAGTAGCTCACTTCTGACATGCCATTGTTCTTCTGATTAACCTGAAATAGTCAATGTAAATTAGTCAGTCAATTTCCCCCCAACAATAGGGAAACCTTGAAAAATTCCATACTGTTCTGAGTATTAATACCTACTCGACCATACTTTCGGCTAGTTTTTTTTATTTTTATTAATCCAAGATAAGTTTAGGGGGAACCTAACGAAAAATCTTTTCATTAACACAGTTCGTTGTGGAGTATAATGTATTGCAAAAGGCTATTTTTATGGGACAGTGTTGTTCATATATTTTTTGTATTGTATTAAGTTTTCTTTTTAAAGAACACAAATAAACAAAAGGGCCACACATGTGCCAACTGGAGACAGAACACACACTTCAAAAACAAAGAAAAGTCATATCAGTCAGATAAAAATGTTCTAATAAGGATACATACGGCATTTTGAAATGAAACCCTCATCTTTTTTAATTTTTTTTTTATAGCAACTGATCAGGTGTGGGCCTGTTTATTACTTGAAATTTTACTATGCGAACCATTTCATTTAACAAAAGAAGCCAAACTTGTCATGTTAAAGGACCGGGGAATATATACTCCTATATGGATAGGGCTTTTATTGTGAAAGGTATGAACGGAGTGAATCTGGCCAGCGCTGCCTTTTAGCCTCTGTTGTTGATTCATAAATATAGGTACAACTGAGTTACTCAACCTCTTCTGCTCAATGTGATGGGTTGATGCTTTTAGTTTGTGGTGCGAAAGAGAGTCTACATCATTCCCAAAACAAAGAGTCGCTTTCTGCTGTGTAATATTCCCGTTCTGTGTGAAAGGTCATTGTCAATCCCAGCAACAGACTATGTATTAGTCTGCCTCTCAATACTTTTTTTTTTTTTTTTTTAAATGTGAAATCGGCATGAGGAGGGCTTGTTAAACGTGAGCTGTTGGCTGCCGGTAAGCAGCGCAGTAGGGAATTACACATATGATGATTGTCAGTTCAAAAGATTATTTTGCACGTCAAGAAAGTTAAAGTTTGGCATAGGTTCTCCATGTTATCGTTTTGTGTGGAACCGATGAGTGAACTACATCTCTCGTCTCCCACAATTCTACACACGGCCGTTAGCTTTGCTAGCTAGCAATGGTAAATTAGCTATGTTTCACGTACAAATGTAACGTCATCTTACCTGATTTTATCCAGCGACTCCTTATCAACCTTGTGTTCATAGACTGTATATAAGAAGTGGGCGTAGTCATCATGACGTCACACATTGGTTTGTGGACTGCCGTTTTGAAGCCTCGAGTTCGGTGATTTCGCTATCGCCATCTTGGTTTACGGCCGACACCATTTTTTTTTTTTTCCGCAACCAATGAACAGAAGTTACCATATTTGAACTGTGGAGGAGTGACGTAGAGACACCGTATACAGCTCTGGTAGCGGCAGCAACCTGTCAATCACAGTAAGACAGCCCTAAAGCATACTCTGCTTTATGGTCTGTTTGACTCTAAATCAACATCATGCTGTATTGAAGAAGAATTGACTTGTTGCCATACTCACTCACCGTGTTGAATATTCAGTTGACTCTCACAGGCCACAGCCAGACTGTACAAGACGCTCAGAGAGAGAGAGCAGAGGTGGTGGTTAATCTAACTGTCTGAACTGACAGCCTTAAACATCACTGCTGTTCACATAATTGTGACGTTGGTTCCCAGCCGTGGCCTTTTGATAAGTAGCTGACGCAGAAATAACACCCGGGTGCTTTTAATGAACGTGCAATTTGTGCTCTGTCTGTCAGGTTACTTGAAAGGCCGCAATTAATCTGATCGGAGAGAAACGAGCGGGCGGTTAGGACGTCTGACGACTGCAGAGGCAACTCTCGCCTGACAAACCCAAAAGCTTTCCCGTATCGGTTGTTGGCTTTTACCGTTTCACATGTGCACATATGTGAGGGTTGCATTGCTACTTCTGGTTTTCCATCAACAGATTCCCTCTCGCAGCCCTTAGAAGCCGGAGTGTTTGTGAAGCAGACCTCCCACCCTGCCATTGTCAGCAGAGCTTATGGCTTTGAGCTCCCTCTTTTCTGCTCCACTGCTTCTCCTAGGACCGTCTCTCTCTCTCTCTCACACACGCGCACACACACACACACACCCCTACTGTGTCTACAAGGACTACAAGCTTGTAACCCGCTGCAACAACAAGTATGTTAATAGTTGATCATCCTCCAGTCATGTACTGTTAGGGTTTTAATTGGTTGCTCAGTTATGGCAGTACTCTCAGTCTAAATATCATAAGAATTACTGAAATCTTTTTTTTTTTTTATAAGGTGTGTGTGTGTATGTATATGTATGTGTGTATATGTATGTATGTGTGTATATGTATGTATGTGTATATATATATATGTATGTGTATATATGTATGTATGTGTATATATGTATGTATGTGTATATATATGTATGTATGTGTATATATAT